GCTCGAGCTAAACAAAAAGCTCAATACGACCGCTCTCGCCGGGATCTCCGCTACAAAGTAGGCGATCTCGTGCTCAGACGAAATCATGTTCTGAGCGATGCCAGCAAAGGCTTTTCTGCTTCACTGGCACCAAAGTGGTTGGGCCCGTACCGAGTGCACGAAGTATTTTCACCACTCGTGTACAAGCTGACTGAGAAGGACTCGAGAAAAGTCAGCGGGCCTATGCATGTCTGCGATCTCAAACCGTACAACGAAAGGAAAGAAGAAGGGGACGAACAAACGCAGCCCCCGCAGTAATATGCACGTAAAACGCGAGACAACGCCGACGATGAACAGCAGGCGTCTTCGCTACAATCTACGAACTTGGAAAAACTCATATCCGAAGTTTTCGTAGAGGCAGCCCCAGTAGGTGGCGAAATGTCACATTAAGGGAAGTGCAAAACACAATGCACCTACTGCCTTCGCGAACGCGCCAGACACCATTGTTTTACTGGCAAGCAGTGACCTAGATAGAAGGTCACCTCAGCGTTCGCTCCCGGATCAACCCGTAGGGGAATCCCCCGAACTACGGCATCCGAGGGAAAGGGTAGGCGTAACGGCCATTGGTCAGTTATTGCCACATACGCTCACGTGTCCAACACGTCACCGCAACAGCGCGGTACGAGCGTCGTCACAAGCGGTCGGAGACCAAGTGGTCATTCAACCGCAGTACGTCTCCGCATCCACGAAGAGGATCCCCAGCCAGCACGGGGCTTCGCGCCGTTCGAGAGCTGCGGTCTCCTGGCTACGGCGGTTCAGCGGCGTTCATGGACCACGGCCGCGCGCCAGCCCCGCTACCCCAGCCGGCCACGGGCCGAACCAGCTACCTGCCGTCGTCGTGCGCGTCGGGATCGACATCCGGTCAGAGACTGCCCACTCTTCATCCGCGGGACCCGCGCCGTGGTCGGCCAGCTCACCGACTAGGGACCAGCTGTTCCCATTCGTCCCGCGACAAGTCCCTAGGGCCCCACCATCCACGTCCACCAAAGACCCTACGCCATGGTGAGCGAGCTACGGCAACGTCGGGAACGACACGGAAGACATCAAGTTATTTGTTACCCCATGCATGTGGGAACCGGCACCGCCGCGTTGTTATTTGTTTTGTTTTGTTTTCGAGAGTCGGTAGGTTAATTTTTATTTTTCTTAAACCTACCTCAGCCTTAAGGAGTCCGGGAGTGTAGGAACCACGAGTTCCCCGCATCCTATCTAGGCCTAGCTCTGGCAGGCCGTGGGGCGTCGTTACGTGGGGGCGCGTCCCGGATGCGAGGGCGAGGCCTGGTGGACGCTTTTCCTCGCCCTTCTCGGGTGATTCGCCTAAGGCACACCCCTCGGGATCCTGACTTGGACGCGTCCGCCCCTGCGGGGAGCCACCTACATCCGACCCACCCCGGGCGCTTCCATTCCCGTAGGCTATAGGTTGTATTCGTGAAGCGGTGCATGCTGGGACCAGCGCCATCTTGCCGTCCTCGAGAGCAGACAGCCGCGCGCGCACTCCCGTAGCGCCCAGCGACAGGTGACGGACGCGTTACGCACGCACCGTTGCAGTGCGACGTATTTATGGTGTTTGCTCGCCCGCTAACGTGAAGATGTCTTCTTCAAGTGGTTGTCCACCGCTGGGTTTATACGGCCTAAGTTTAAGCGGACGGGAACGCACACGTTACGAGGAAAAGGTTAAAATGTGCGGCGCGGATCCGTTCGCGCTGCCGCCGATTGACCTAGTCCGGAACAGCAACCTATGGCCGCAGGTAGAAATGGGCGACATACACAACTACCTGATCCTCAAGACAAGTTTCGTGACGCGCAAGCAGCTAAAAGCGTACAAATCATTAGACGCCCATAATTACCTTACGAGCGGATGGGTCCAGGAGCCGGCAATGAAAGCAGCGAACGCGGACAGCGTGATCATCGTCTCGAAGGTGAGCCTAACTTTTCATGTTTTTGCGGACGCGTATCTTCGCTTAATTTCGTTTGAAACGGCGAAACGGTCTGTTTCAGGAGCGTGTAGTAGCCAGTGATAGTGATAGCGCGAAGGAGATGATGGTGGCCTAGCGCGTCTTAGATCGGAGCACGTGGAAAGCTCGTGCTGCAGGACCCAAACATCGTACCGGTGTGCAGTCGTGCATCGCTACTGCGTGGTGCACCTAGTAAAGACTCCAGTAATGACTGAACCAACTAACTTCGATCGAACTTGCGCTGCAAGTAGGCCTAGCCCACTGATTCGAAAAGCTCCAGGAAGTTAATGCCAGAGAAAAACAAACTATGCCGACACTCACCCGAGACGAAGTGGCGTGAGCACACCTTGTACTTGTCGAGGTCAGCGTCCAGGTCTTTTCTGTTGATGCGTTTCAACCATTCTCGCTGTCTCCTCGCGGACAGTGTTCGCGTCGTGTCGCATTCACGAGTCCGTACCTTCGGTATTTTAAAGAACCGAGCCTCTGCGACCTTGCACTCTTTCTTCTTCTTTGACGATTGCGTCTTGTTGTGGCAACCTACCACCACACACGACACCATACCCGAGGCAGAAAGCGCGGCTGCGGCTTCGCCTGAAGTTTGAAAAGGTAGGATACGGTTGTCCGTACGCGACTGTGCGACTGTCTGCTCCCGAGGACGGCAAGATGGCGCTGGTCCCAGCATGCACCGCTTCACGAATACAACCTATATAAGACGGCCCTAATCCTACGGGCGGGACTCTCGCTGAGGGAGGCTCTGCTCGACGGAGCCTTCACATCCTTATCTGATCCTCCCCCTCCGTGATACTGTCATTAGCGGCAGCGCGGACTCCGGTTTAGAACGCAAATTTCACAACGTCTAAGTTTTATTTGTTGCCATATAAACAGTCTTTGTATATTATATTTTATTGTTCAATAAACCACTATTATACCTCGCTTTTAACACAAAAAGACAAATGAAAATTGTAATTTCTAAAAATATGAAACCGAATTTTAAAATTTTTTTGAAATATTCGGTAATTCACAAATTTTACATTGAACTCATAATGTTAAACTTGTATTCATAAAAAAAAAAAGAATTGGACTTTCTGATGATGTCTGAGTAATTAAACTGTCACATAGGTATCACATGAACGTGCCAATATTTACAGCAAGTCATCGAAGGAACACAGTTTCATTATTTGTTTTTATTATTATAAAATATATTTTTTGTTCAGCTTTTTAAGCCTAATGGAAACTATTTCTAGAGTGACACAAAAGAGTCCTATCGCTTTATTTTGAGAAGTGAGAAAATGGCGAGCCTTCAAACATGTGGTTCCCAACTTGTGGGGGAAAACGTCATTTTCGTATCCGTCACTTCAATATCAATAACTTAAAGAAAAAAAAAACATGCCCAGATTGCCGATTTTGCTTTTTTATTTCAAGAATGCTCCAAAAACATTTGTTTTAACGTAAACATTTGTTCTACAATCGTGCGTGAGTGGGATAACAATAACGATAAATATTTCGCTTCATCTTAAAAACAAATACTATGCTGAAATTTCCGCTGCCGCTACGCCCTTTCTTCACGTAATGAGTTATTATTTAGAGCGAGAGTTGGTTTTCTACGGATAGCCAATCTGTTCTTCTGAGTGGTGTAGGTTTCGGAATCAGTCACCACAGCTTCTCGCGATCTCCGCCTACGATCCGCATACTCTTGGCTTTGAAGAGCCGATCTCTTTTCCCGGGTGTCGGTGGTTTCTCGGAAACGGCGTCGCCGCTGTGTTTCGGTTTCACGTTGTCGCTTGCGCTGTGCATACTGGGGAATACTTGAAACCCTTAAGCTGCGGTGCTATCGTAATAGGAGTGCGCACCAACAGCGCTGCCTAACTGGAAGCCTGCGAGAACGCTCCTTCACTATCAGGTAAAAGGGAAAGTGAACGTCACGAATGAACGATCGGAGCGATGGAGCACGTTAGAAACTGTGCCGTGGCCTCAACAAACAAGTCCAGTCCGAACCCGAGACTGCTGCAGGTACCAGGGCAATAAATGCTTAGGCATTTTACAACCTTTTCCTGGTGTGGTGTTTAAGAACTTTCCGAAAATTCAAATAAATATGAGCTACGACAACTACGCAGATACTATAGTCGCTGAAAAGGTGACCCCGAATCCATGGCGAGCTTTCTATGTTGGACAACGGTTTGACATCACGAGCACCTTGAGAGCGCGCGCGCAGCCAGAGCACAATGGAAGGCATGGAGCGCTGGCCGGAGGACGGGGGTTCCATAGACACTCCCTGCCTTTCCCACTTTGTCAGTGACCCTTTTAGAACACATATTTAAAAAAAAAAAATCATGAGTCATTCCACTCTGTGGAGGTGGATAATCAGCGAAGCTGTCTAGCACACGACGCAGACCCGCCCCGAGTAGCCTGAGGAAACTCATCAGGCGCGACGGGACTGCCACCCCGCGGAACGTAGACACGCGCGATGGGACCGCCACCCCGGGAGAGCGGAAGGAAAGGAGACTAGGGACGCGAGCGCTTGGAACGACGACAAAGAGAGGGCTGTTCGAGCGTAGACATGGCCGTCGCGGATCTCACTGCGGCAAATCTTTGAGCGAACTTTATTTCCTACCTGAGAGTGTACTGATCTTGATAATGTTGCCTATTGATAACTAATCTAGTGAAAATGCATATTCAAGTGATGAGATATATAAGCTGTTGCACAGAATGTAGCGATTTTTTGTGAACTTCGGGACATCAGTTACTGTTGACACACACAAAAAATCCGCTGAACGCTAGCCATAAACAGCTTCGCAGCGAAAAAAGGCAATGTCACGCGCACATGCCATAACTCTTCCCTACTCTACTGCTTAGCATTTAACCTCATCTTGAATGCAGGAAAATACCTTTTTATTACCTCTAGTTTTATAGTCATATTATTAAGTGTAAGTGCTACTCATGTCGGATTGCGACACAAAGTCTTGTAGGATGAACACCGGCTATTCTTTTTTTTTTCATTGCTCGATCCAGGTGATTGTGGGCGAAGACGGAGGGTCCGCGTTTCTGTGCGATCACGCAGTCATCGACGGCACCGTGATGGCTGGACTCACGAATCACTGCTACGATTACGCGTGAGTTTGAATTCAGCGGAAGTCGATTACTGCTCTTTCGTGTACACTTTTTGACCATGGTCTATTGCACACAAGCAGTACCGTCTTTCTAGAAATATTAGAGATGATTAATTTGAGTTCCATCCGCACGATTCTGTCGCAATCTCCCCAAGTGTGTCGGCATAACTGGAAACAGAAGTTTTTATAATCTGCGTCACATTTACGACCGCAGTCAACACTCCGATTAGATGGAGCTATTCAATTAGCACCAAATAGTGCATAGTCACAGAATTCGTCGTTTTACTCTGTTCGCTCTTTCCGGCTAAACCGGTGCCGCGCAGAACAAACCACAGGATTAAGGCCAGACCACAAGGGAGGCTTTTCACGCACTTCGCCCAAGGCTTCGCCCAAGGCTGGGATTTACTCGCAGAGCAAAACCAATGAGACCATAGACCGATCTCACTAAATGTTCGGTGCATGAGTGACACCGCCATAACTTTCGTTCAAGGAGCCAGACGGCCGTGCATTTAAGGGATTGTGCCGTCTCGTGCTCAAAGGCGCAGCGGCGTAGTCAAACAGGCTGGTTATGTCGGTCTTTTTTGGCGGCACCTGATCGGCCTTTCTTTAAGCACGACAATAAACGCGCGCCATTTCGGCAACTCAGCAAACGCGGCGGCGGCCTCTTCTCAAGTTCTACAAGTGCCAGTGGTTTGCGACGTTGAAAACGGAAGGGAGGGGAAGGTGGCTTGGGGTAAGGAACCGCCAGTGTTACGAGCTTACACGGTTGCCACCGCGGAAATCTGTTTACGGCCGTAACGGAAACGGTTATCTTTGCGTGCGCTTCAACTCGTGATTGTCATGGCTCGACACTTTTAGCGCAAACGCGTTGCTGGTTTTGCTAAAACAAAATGTTATTCACCGCCAAAGTTACCAGTCATTGTGCCGCCACCGCTCTCGCTGGTCGTCATGGCAGGTCGCGTGAGCGCCACATTGGCCTATTTAACGAACTCCTCCAGATGCAGAGTTAGCTTCTCGACTTAACCGATCCGTCTCATGCCAAGTAACGGGCGCGAAAGGTCACGGCCGTGTGCTGATTCATAAAGATCGGGACGCCCAAATCGGCCAAGTAAAACTCCAGATTTGCACCGTGGATTAAACCATGTGAAGAAAACCCGATAAGCGTACCTAAGAGATCTCGCACTGGGCCCTCGATTCGCATTACGGGAGGTCCCTAGCGGCCCGCCCCTACGCTGACGTGGTCGAAGTGCGTGAAAACAAAAAGTCCCCTGTGGTTGACCGCACATTCGCTGTGCGTCGTGATTGGCTTAGGCTGTGACGGAAAACGCAAAAATATGACGACAGCTATGACGATACACTTTTAGCGCTGCTTGATTGCCTCTATCAGACCGTTGGCTGCAGTCGGACCGCGGTGTAAAAAAACGCGTACGGTAATGTCACTCCCTCCGACTGGGCTTCAAGATGTTCTGCGCGCCTGTTGCTGCTGCCAAGGCGGCTGCGGTTGTTGTACGGTGCCGTACGCCACCTAATTTCGCTCGCCGCTCTCCCGCAAGCAATTTTCAGTCCTTCTAATCGCATCGGGACCCGTGCGTAATTTGCGTGAAAGATCCGCATAAAGGTAATTGATTCCAGATGCCATATTGCTGTCCAGTTTGTGTAGCCGAGTCTCTCGTCGAATCCGGAGATCGGGCCTCCACACATGAGCGCATCCTTGAAATGTTCCGTTCACCTGTGCGTCCGACTTTCACATATTTAACTTGATGTACTTAAACTTTGAAGGGACATTGCCATTACCTTCTCCCCACCCCCCCCCCCCCTTTAAAAAAAAGCCCCCCAAAATTTGGTGTTCGTTGACGTGCCAATTAATGTGGCGGTGATCCTGGTGAACAAATACAAAATCAATAAAATTACACCCATAACGAAATAAATTACCTACGCTTCTATGCACCCAGGTCGTTTTAATTAATTTTTCGAAATTAAAAAAAAAAGTTTGATAAAACAGTTGGCGTATGTTTAACTGTTCTATTTTCTTTTAATGTATCGGGACTACTCTGGTAAGCACAAACACACAGACAGAAAAAATAAAAACAGACACAATTTATTTTGCCGGCAAACCAGTTAACCAATTGACGTTTCTTATGGGTCTGCTTTTTATGGGTCCAGCGATTGTCGCATCATGGTTCCTGTTGACATCCACCTCGCAACGTAATCCAGGATGGGCTTCCCCAGATTAACCTTCCAAAGTAGGGACAGCATTGTTCGCGACCTAATTTTTTTTTCCAACGTTTTGGGTCTTTAGTACGATCTCGCTATCAGATGTAGACTTGAGATCGCCGTATTGAGCGAGCTGCAGCGTGCGCGCAGCACCTCTCATGCCTTGAAGAAGAGGTCCTTCGTCTGAAAAAGCAAAACCTTCTTCTAATTCTTCGAGGTGTACCTCGAAGAATTAGAGGGAGGCACCATCTGAGGCGGCGCTGTAAGCGTGCACATCTTCCTCTTTCGACTCAGACTGGTCGGCTTGCCGAGACCAGGCTCGCATATTCTTCTCTTAAGAGATCGACGGTTTTTATCAATTTAACTGCGTTGTCGGTCGTTGCTTATTTATTTATTACTTGATTGATTTACAATATTGAAAGTCATTTTGGGATGTTTCAGGAGTGAACAGCGATAGAGCAAACAAAATTAAATTACCGAACATCAAGAACGATCACCAAAATGACACCATTTGAGAACAATTTCGGGTAAAAAAGAACACTTGAAGTTATCACCACCAAAAGAGTACTGGCACGTCTCCGGATACAAATCATATAATACACTTTCAAACTGCACTGCATTGTCAATCCCAACAAAGAGGTCGCCATCCAAACTATTCCACTCTAGGTCTTCTCTGCAGAGGCGTCGTACCTTGAAAGTACTTGAAGAACTTCGCTTTTCAAACGTTCCGCGGTGTGTCGCTCGAAAAATTATTATGTCCAACGTTTGCGGGTGAAATTTCCCATTTTTGACGTATTGGACGTTCACGCCGAGAACTGCGTGTTTGAGACCCGTGGCGCAATCGATTTTCAGGGACAAACACTGTTTTCTATAAGACTCAGAGCCTCCCATATTCTGACAATTTCTGCCTCTTCTGACACCTTCTGCCGGACGGCGGCACAGCGTTTTCTTGGCAACGGCTTCCTTCTCGCTAAAGTGGATATGGATCACGCGTAAGGCTCGCCAACATTCGTGGAAGGCTTGAGGTTTTCTTCTAAACTGAGTTTTAAGAATACGAGCCTGTTCTCTAAAACGTTTTTGAATGAAATGGCGTTCGACATACCGTAGTAAACCCGAATTTGATGCTGCGTTGTTATTCCGCGGCTGCTCGATCTGTCATACCGTCGTCACGTTCTGGCGATTTTTTTGTCAGGCGCGTATGCGCGATGACTTCGAGCGGCTCAGGCGGATTCTCTGACACTCAGTAACAGCGGTCATTGACCTCCTTCTTTGTAAAGTATTAATGCAAAAACATTTGCGTACGAGGAAACAGTTTGCTGCGCAGCGCTAACTAAGCCTCTCAAAATTTCCGGCGCACAGCTCATGGGAATAGTACCTTCAATTTTCGCCCGAACTGTTTGGTGAACCGGCTAAAAACGGTTTTTTTCTTTTGCTCTGGTTCAGGTTCAGCTCCATAGTGTCGCCGAACATTTCGGTTCAAGATCTGGTTCGGTTCGGGTGAAATAAGCATTTCAGTTCTGGTTAAGGTTTGACACCCTGAGCGAAATACATCGGCCCTAATTGTATCCCGATACAAATAATACACCTGAAAATGTAATTTGATAGTGAAATACAAAAAAAAAAATACATTTGAAAAATTGTATCGCTTTACAGAAATATCAATACATAAAGTTTTTTTTTTTTTTAATACTATCGCTATTCATTTGTATCTCGATTCTTTCCAACCTTGCAGGGTGGGCAATATTTTTTGTCAAAACTAGTAAAAGTCATAAAGGCAGTGGTGCTTTTTTTTTAAACAGTACAACGGCAGGAGTGGGAAGTCATGGTGATTGGTATTCGCAGCTTTTATACTTTTGTTCTAGTTTTTAGGTCGGCAAAAAATGAACTTAACAGAATTAATTCCAGATGTTAAATGTTATTTTTCTTTTTCTTGACAAACTGCATTTTTTACGACTGTAAAAACTGATGACTCGCCAGAATTCGTTGAAGTTATTAGACAATATAATGCAATTAACCAACCCAGTGTTTACAAACCGAAGAAACTTGAATAAGTTCAGCACTTAGATATTGCTTCTTGAACATAGTTTTTTCTAAAAATTATTACATGGAGATGCTGGCATGGTCGACGCAGTGCGATAGTCCCTAGGAAGACTGGCTAATCTCCCGCTCGAATGCCTCTCTCCGCGCAGCAAGACGACGGCGCCGTGGATGAAATTGCAGGGCGCGCTGCGCGCAATCGGTGTCATGTTGTAGCTGCCACCTTTTGCATTCACGTCCTTCTTCATTATCAACAAGCTTTCTCATTCACAACATGAGAAAATCATTGTGGAGCTCTCTGCCTTCTTAGCAAGGACAAATTTGCCTTTCTTAAGTTGTACGGGACATGTAGTGCCGATAAGGGGCATACTCATGTTGTTCTTGCTTTCCATTTCGGCCTTTACACCGTAGCAATGTACAGCGAGAAGGCAGCAAGGCAGTCCGGGTAAGGCTTCTGAAGGCCAGGAGGTGTAAATAATTCATCTAGGAAGTGCTCATTTGCTTGTGTTTGTGATAATTTGTCCATTCTTTTTTTGTGTGGTTTCGTAACTGCCGAACTCTGGCACGCCGATTGCTCGCAGCGAAGCCACGCGGTTTCATTCCGCCGCTGTCGCCGATGGGGGCAGTGGACGAAAGACCAGTGCTTGCTATGTCCCTGCCCTTATCTGCGCATGAGCTTTTCGGCTTCTGGTAACATATTCGGTGCATACTGCAGCGAGAAGGCAGGGAGCTTCGAGGCATCTGAAAACAACGAGGAAGCTGCTCATCAAAAGCTGCAATTTGTTCTCGGACACGATACCTTACTAGCAATCGAGAAGGCGACATCGTTTCAAGCAAGGTCAGTATACGTTCTGCTAGATCACCAGAAAGCAATAATGCTGAAACCGTGTTATTTGTAGACGGCCTTTTCCTAACCGGCAATAGGTCCTGCGAAAAACCTCGCTGAGAATATCACGCATAGGTGAACATTTATCTTGAAGTAGACATGTGCCTTTTAAGGATTGTAACCATCAACCGCGGCGGCAGAAAAGATATGAAGACGACGACGTGTACGAGACATCGAGATTCGAAACTTCTCCAAGGCTACGGACTACCGAAACCACTCGCTATAAATAGTAGTAAATATTAATGCACAGAGTGTCACACACAAAAAAAAGAATACAGGTCTTTTTTACCGCAAAACTAGACTAGGCATCGCCGAACGCTCATTTTCCGCCTAAAAGTAGCGCTAGAGGTCACAACCAGATGACAAAGTTTCAGCCCGATCCGACACCTTATTCAAAAGTTATAAGTGATTTTCTGAAAATTTGCTTGAGAAAATGGCGGCCGTCGGAGTTTTTGAATACATGGGGCTCTAAAGCCCGGTTCAAACGGACCCGAAATGCAGAGACGGGAGCCGGAACCGGTAGCGACGTTAGCGCTCCCTCCGCACGGGTGGTGACGTACTTACGGCTTCCGGCTCACGGATTGAAGAGTTGAAAAATTTTCAACTTTCTCCTTCCCGGGCCGTGACGTAGGTTTCCGTATTTTCTCCGCGGCCAATCAGCGCGGCGCGCTTCCCCCCTCCGCCCTTCTTGCCACCGGCGTTCACGTGGTTCCGCGTGCGAATGCCCCAGTCGCTCCGTGCTTGCTTGCAAGGAAAGCTCCGGCGATGAACTTCCCGCCCGTCTCCGACGCGAGGAAAGCAGCTCAAGCTGCAAAGAAGAGTGCCGCTGCGTTTGACGTACCCGAGAAAGCCTATGGATTAGTTAGCGAGTTCAGCGGTACCCCTGGATCTGCGACAGGTATCGTAGGGACCACAAGGACCGGGACAAGTGAAAGAACTCGATACTGCTTTTAATAATTTATTGACACTGTTTCGGAGACACGGGAGGTGGTTGCAACCCGATGAAACGGCATCTTCAATGCAAATATGAGTGGCCTTCAGGAAGGCCGTTTGTAGAGGCAGGCAATGGCTGGCTGCAAAGAGACCGGAAAGGCAGTGGGATGTTATGCATAAGCAAATGTGCTAAGCTTCCAGCTTTGAGGGCATGCTTGTTCACTACAATTGTAATGAAGCAACTCATTGGTTAATTTTCTTTTTTTTTTTCTTTTTTTTATACACAATGTTTTACCAGCCTCGGGAACTCTGCGACCGACAAAATCCCCTCACCCCCGAAACTAAATCCTGGCTACGTGCCTAGCTGCAACCATTGTGCGTGCGAGCTACATCCGACACTTAAAAGGTTAAAAAGGTCAACGACACTGGTGCGCGCTGTAGAACAGTTTTTAGGCAGTACTGTACGACCGCTAGCCTAGGGTCTTTAACACCCGTCACGCAGTAGTGAAACACGAACGTCTGCTGGTACGATGCTCATCCAGATCGAAACGGGCAGGGGTGGGGATTGAACCCAAGATCCTGGGTTCTGCAGCGCGAGCTTTCGTGCAGAATTCACTCATAAGCAGCTTGTAAGCACACATCCTAGCTAGCACAAAGGACAAGGAAGCACAACGAGCACAAAACCGTGACCAGATTTAGTCGGCCGAAAGAGTGTGTCGTACAAGCTGCACATGTGCATGCCATTGCTATTTTTTATAGCACAGACGCAGTAAAATTTGACAAGGATGTGACTGTTACGAATGCTGCTCTCGTGATCCTGCCGCGTTAAAAATGATATAAACGTGCTTTCACTGCGGGAGCGCACGCTCCAGGTGAGTAGTCCTGCGAGCGACGCGCGGGCCCATGTGGAACGCCCCTTGATATATAACATGAAAATGCTCCAAAATAAAAAAAACAGCACACCCTACCTGGCTCGTGACATTAGGAAGCACTCGAAGAATTCCCGACCGTCGGGGTCTTCGAACCTCTGTCTCACGATGGTGGCAAACTCGCCGAACATTTTTCGAGGCTTTCGCTTCTTCTTTTTCTTCACGCTCCGTAGGTACTGCTCACACGCAGCCGCGAAAGTAGTCAGCCGACGTCAGTTGATAGTTCTTGCATTTGTGACGCACCTCACTACACAAAGGTTCATAAGTGAGGCAATTCGAGCTTCGTAGCCGAGATTCTGCCGAGATGACGCCATCACGAAACAAAGCGAGTGCCGCTCTAGACGGAACCGACGGAGCGCGCCGCGCGCCCGGGCTGCCCGGGCGACAACTCGGCTTGACGACAGCCGCTGATTGGTTGCCTGGGGAGCCGCCTTGACGTCAGCTCCCGTATACGGGGACCCGTGCCGCGTGCCGTTCAAATCAAACCGTGACGTCAGCTCCCGTGAACGGGAGCCGGAAGCGAAACGCCAGTACGGGTTCCGGCTCCCGGGTACCGTATTCCGAGTCTGCTTAAACTGCGCTTAAGGCACTACAAACCGAAAACGGGCAAAAATGGGCTCCATTTTCCCAATGAAACTCGGAAAATCACATAACTTTTAAATAAGGTATCGGATCGGGCTGAAACTTTCGCATCTGGTTCTGACCTCTAGCGCCACCTTTGGGCGGAAAATGAGCGTTCGGCGAAGCCTAGTTTATTTTTGCAGTAGAAAAAACCCTGTACATTTTTTGTAACACCGTGCAGTTTTACTTTTGAGCATCTTAACAGCGTTCTCGCGATTTCAGCGTTATATATTACAATCGGATATCTCAGCGAAATAGCTGGGTATTAACACGGTCTTTGCTACCTCGCAGATTCTGAATATCTTTTAAGAAAAATAGGGTCGTCATAGTGTTTCTTAAGCAGGGATACAAACCAGAAAACTCGACTCCTGCACATCAAACAATTGAATAATTCACCGTATCTGTATTTATGTGGAGGGTGTTACAGTGCAAAAATTTGATTGCGAATATATCTCTCTTCGCAAAAAGGATGCAAGCTTGACAACATAAACTATGGTTGTGTTCGGAGACGAGAGAGTTAGTGATGAATGTAACTTGTGACACCATCTATCGATAGGCCCGGCGAGTAATCGACACAATTTGTGGTCATCTAGCTACGTTTATCGCGACAGGGCGCCACAAGTTTCATTAGTCTATGGCACCCATGCATCGTAACTCGGTCGTCTGCAAACACATCTGTCTTTGAATTTTGACAAGTTCACCACCTAAATGAACATTATCGCTGAAAGTTTGAGTTTTATATCGGCAGGCGCCTACTTCCGCAGTTTTTCTAGAGCGTAAGTTACACTGTGACCACTCCGTAGTATATCTCCATAAAATATGAAGGGAATACTCCCCGTATAACTTCGATTTTTGAGCCGAAGGGCTTAGAGAAAGACTAGTTTATAATCCTAAATGTATCGCGAGCATACGGTAGTTCCCAGGTAGCGGGTAGTTACGCTGAAAGTTCGAAAGTTAATCGAATTTACGTTATGTAAAGATGAATGTAAACACTAATATAATAAAACCTACCTGAAAGCGAGGGACGAGCACAGACAGGTACCGCCCGTACTTGTAGGTTCTCGTTTCTCCTTTTCTGTTTTTTTAGCTTTAGGTGTACGATTATCTACGTCAACACGCTCGTACTAGTTTAAAATGTAAATTAGGTCGCCCTTTGTTACGTGCTACTTTTAAGAAAGAAAAATATAAGACAACAAGGTACAATATTGCCGCATAAAGAGACTGTGATCCATCATGATGTCCTTAAACACAACAGGTATTCCGACGACACTCAAAGGCTTCTGTATACATTTTCTGAGTATGGAAAGAACTTCATCCAGTTGTGCAACATGAGCCCGGACGGCTACGTACAGATGGCCCTGCAACTGGCGGCTTTCAGGTGAGAACACGTTGATGGAGCACGTAACGCATTCTTCGTGAAACACGTTTAGGGTTCGACACTGTGGGGGATAATTGTACTTAACTTTCTAGGATGTTTTTTCGGGGTTTTATTTTTACTAGCATGTTTGGTGTTTTTTGTGCCATTTCTCAGCATCATGCAAAATGGAGATGTTTATCGGAGATTATATGTTAAAGAAAGAGGAGGCTATGTTCCCTCTCGGCAAAAAATACAACTCTAGATAATTATATCTTTCGGCGAAACTTTGGAAGTTTTATTTTAAACAGCTTATTTCAGGGTTTTTTCTTGTTTTACTTATTTCAATGAAAGCGTCTCGGGACTTAATTTGAGAGGTTTATTGGAATTTACATAAAGCACGAATCACTGGAAATACTTGCCACGTACGGTACGGATGAGATGTACAGTACGGATGAGGGTGTTTTGTTGCAATTCTTGTTTACCTAGACGCTTGACATAGGTACGAAATTTAATTGTGTCCGAAGTATGCTCAGTCAAATGTGGATGCAACCTAATCAATAACTTTTAATTAAATATATACCACCGGGTCTCGTATTCACATTTTCTTTGGCAAACAGCCGCCGTTCGGATAGCCTTAATCAGTAGGCAAAAAGTAATGATTTTTTTTAACCTCACTGTAACTTCTCCAGGTAGGGTTGCTCCCTTTAGAGTTAAAGCGAAGGGATGGTTGTGGACAGGTTGTATGCAGGTCCACAGCCATTGGAAATTTTACACGGATTGTGTTTCGTCAGCCGAGTTCTATATAAAAACCGCAACAAAGGACTGTAAGATCACGTGACATAAAGAGGTCATATGACACCGTGGTGTCTTGCAATAACGTAAATTCGCACGACTTCAAGAAGTCACGTGAGGCCGCGATGTAAATAACACCTTGACATAACATGCCATCGTGACGTCGCGTGGTACCATGACACCGTGTGACGTCACAGTCATGGGATCTCATGACACCACGTGACGTCATATACACACATAGTATGTGTCTAGCTCATTCACAACACATTATGTGCTCCCCGCTCTTTGTCAGCATGTTCAGGCGAGTTTCTTAGTATCGAGAACGGGCATACAATTTTACATTAGTGGAAATCACTGCCAGTGCTGATTGGTAAAAAAAAAAGAAGTAACCACCCGCCGAAACCTCCAGTCCCACCTTCTAATATTTTGGGGAGTATAGTTAGGGTTTCGTGGTTTTACGGTCTACCTTCGTTGGAGTTCGCGGGAGGTGGGGGGCGGGGAGTCGAGGGCTCTATTTTTGTTTTCAAGGATCTTGGCCGGCTTGCTCGAAGCAGAGTCTCAGTTGAGACTGCTCAAAGAAAGCGCTGTCAAGGCTAGCGCTCGAGCTTAAGCCGAGTCTCAGACGCTCGCGCGCCCGAGCCTTGGCAGCGCTTTCTTTGAGCAGTCTCAACTGAGACACTTCTTCTAGCAAGCCGGCCCTGGTTTTCTTGGAGATATTTTGTGCTGTCAGGCAGAGCTTTCTTCGCGGGGTTTACGCTGAAGAAGACCGGCCATGGGCATAACATTTTACGAGCTCAACGAATGATGGGCGTGGCACGTATAGCCTAAACACGCGTGGGTTGCGAGGGGTGCATTCTGGCATGTCCGTGCGAGGAGCAGACGACCGCGCAACCACAGCGAATATTTTTAAGGTTTAGCTGAAACCGTAGTTTTCAGAGCGACTAATCTGCCGTTGTGATGCTAGAAACCAAGACACCGTTAGAAAATAATATTATTTTCTGACAGTGCCTTGTGTCTTCGCCACCCGTGACCACTTAGTCACGAGTGACGAAAATCATCTTTGGAGAAGGAGACTAAGGGAAACGAAAGACAATTTCCGATTATTTCGTTCAGCTCGCTTGTACCTTTGCATTTTAATTGCATTAAAATAATAACCCGAAAGTCCCCTCTTTTTTTTAAGGTACTGAGGGAGGCGCAGTTTGCAAATTACGTTCCGGCGAAATTCCGGTAAAATGAGAGGACAGATAGTTCCCACCGTTGCACCTTTTGAGGCGTTTATTAAATATGTTATGTCAAGTTCTTCATAATGATAGTTAAAGGACCGGTTAGCGATGCGTTTGCTTAGCTTTTATTACTCCTGTAAAGCGACCATTCCGCTCTTACATGTTGAACACCAGAATATGACGACCCGGCTCAATACCCAACCTTATGATTTCCTGATATTCGGACACGAACACCCCAGAAGGCCTGCCGAAGCAGAGGTTTGTGCTTGTAAACAGAAAAACGCCATAAAAGGAGCAACGAAACGGACACCCGGTTTTAGCGCTCATTCACACTGGCAGCGGATTCGCGTCCGCAAAGCGGTTGCGAACGCGGTTGTATAAAAATCCAGTGCAATTGCACGCACACTCGATAGCATCAAGTGCGCTTGCAATTTTTTATTTTATTTCTTTTTTACTTATCAATACTATTATTCCAATACATGGAATATAATAGGAGTGGCACAAGAATGAAGCACTATGTATACAAGATCCTTGCAATGTAAGTGTAGGCCCCCGCCACCAGAATGCCACGAAAGAAACTCTGTGCAACAATTGACAGCAGTGTGTCGGCAAGTATACACATAGCAGTAGATGAACAATTCATAAAAGATTATCTTGCAGACAGCAGCAAATATGACACAAGAGTTTCAACAGTGGAACGCGTTTGACAGTGAGGCGCCGATTGCAAAAAAAAATAATATTTATATAGTTGATAACAGTTGCTCAAGAAACAATGAAACACACTCACAGTTGACTATATCTCGAGGTAGTTTGTTCCAATCGGACACAGTACGCGGAAAAAAGGAGTACTTAAACGCATCTACCCGAGAGTGACATTCAATAATTGTTTTCGGGTGTGTGAATCGAGTGTCGGTCATTTGGCAAAAAAGTGATATATTTATCTTGAGGTATTCTTACGGCTCCATTCACGATTAGATAGAGCATTTTTAGCCGCGCTATCTTTCTTCTGGAGAACAGCGATGTTAAATACGTTTGAAGCATTAATTTTCATGGTGAGTTCTTTCTTCCAAATTTGTTAAAGATGAACCTAAGTGCCTTTCTCTGAATCATCTCTAGTTTGTTTACGTTCTTTTGTGTGAAAGGGTCCCAAACAAAGCTGGGATATTCAAGAATTGGCCGGATTAAAGTTTTGTAGGCAAGCAATTTTGTAGAAGGCGGTGCACCCGGCAAGGTTCGTTTAAGAAACCCTAGCTTACTGTTGGCTCTCTTTACGATGTAATAAATGTGAAGGTCCCATTTAAGTTCAGAAGAAAAAATGACGCCTAGATATCTGAAGGTTGTTGCCTTGTTTAGTTTGTGACCAGATAACTCATAATTGAAGTCAAGGGGGAGTTTCTTACGTGAAATAGTCATACACACACACTTCATTTAATGTCATTTGCCAATCGCTGCACCACTTGTAAATTTTGTTTAGGTTATTGTTCAATGCTATCTGGTCGTTGCGCGAATTTACTTCAGAATATAAGACTCAGTCATCTCCGAACAATTTTATACCAACATTTATGCCGTTAATTATATCATTGATGAATATTAAAAACAACATGGGTGCCAGAACTGTCCGTTGAGGTACTCCCGAGGTTACGGGCGATGTAAGTGAAGCTTTATTGTTGTATGTTACGAACTGTTGCCTTCCCTTTAGGTAGTGTTCAAACCATTTTAATAATTAGTCAGATTTAAGAACAACGTTTAATTTAGCGAGAAGTTTGTCGTAGGAAACCTTGTCGAATACATTCGCGAACTCTAGAAATATGATATAAACTTGAGAACGTTTATTTAACAACTCACTAAATTCATGTGTTGTTTCCAGTAGTTACGGTTGAAAGGCCTTTCCTGGAACCATGTTGTTCTTTTGTTTATAACGAGTGGTTCTCGAGATGATTAGTAATAAGTGAGCATATGATATGTTTTAGAATTTTGCAACACTGTGACGTTAATGAAATTGGTCTATAGTTCGCAACGTCTGTTTCCTTTCCGGATTTAAAGATAGGAACGATTCTCGAAACCTTCCAATCATCAGGCAGGGACCCGAGCAATAAAGATTGTTGAAAAATAATGCGAAGGTATATAGAGATCCACTCACCGTAGCGTTTTAGGAATGCTGTGGGAATCAAGTCGGGACCGGGGCTTCTCATTTCATCAAGGTTTAGTAAAAGAGCGAGTATACCTTCTTCAGAGATGTACAGCTCGGCAATCCTTGGAATATTATCTAAACTTTCGATTGGTAGCAACGAACGATTATCAGGGGTAAAGACTGACACAAAGTTACTATTTAGAGCCTCTTCAATAAGAGACGCTTCTTGAGTGAAATTACCGTTAATTAAAAAGTTATTTGATATTTTCCCTTTAGGTTGAAGGTATCTCCAGAATTCTTTCGGCGAGGATGACATAAAATTTGGAAGTGTATAGCTGTAGTATGTTGACTTTGCTGAGGACACCATTTCTTTATGGGCTTGGTTAAATTTGCAAAGAAGTTGTTTCTTTGCCAGGGAAGGGTTCCTCTTTATGTTTTCCCGTAGCTGGGAAATTTTGCGGCCGAGATGAATGATCTCACGTGTGATCCAGGGGTTCTCCCTATTTTTTTTTTGTGTTTTGTTGGAACATATTTAGCAACGCAATCTTCAAATATTTCTTTAAATGAGTTCCACAAGTCGTTCATGCACACATTCTGAGTTTCTGAAAGCTGCCGAAATGAATCAAGGGAGAGTTCTAGGTGATCTAATATAGAAACGTCGTCCGCATTAAGACATTCATAAACAGGAACAGTACGTGTCGAGTTACGGTGTGTCATGTTTAATGGAAGAGAAACGACTACCATCTTATGGTCGCTAATACCATCGCAAACATAAGTGGTACTATTTTCAGAGAAATCGTAACTCACAAGAACAAGATCCAGTATAGATTGTGAAGAATCCTGAAGTCTTGTAGGTTCATATACGAGTTGATCGAGATC